TTCGACCTCGTAGAAATTATACCGGTTTCGATCCCCGACTGAAAGAAAAAAAAAAAAAAAAAGAAAAAAATAAATAAGAGAAAAACGGACGAAGGCAGAATGAAAGACAGAATATATGAATCTCGTCTCGTAACCCCGTAAGAATTCTCACGTCACGACTCGAAAGGGAGAAAAGGAGAAAAGACTGCCGGTCGTCGGTGCACTTTCGCGAAACGCGCGCGCGATCGACGACGATCGACGACGATCCACGCGTCGCCGTTCGAAAACTGACTTGCACATCCCTACTTGGAAACGTCGAATTATTATTCGGAGGGGCGAAAGTACGCTCGCCGTCGCATCAATTAAGAGGCAGAAAAGGCGCAAATCGCGTGCGAGGGGCGAGAGGGGTGACTCTTCTTCAAGTGGATCGACGACCTAATCGACGCGAAGCCGTCTACAAAACTCGAACAGGGGTCGAGAAGAGGAAAAGGGGGGGGGGGAGGAGGGGAGGGGGAGGAGGGAAGGGACGAAGATAAGGGAAGAAAAAAGAAAAACGTAAAAAAACTCACGTATTCACGCATACCATTACACACATGTAACACGCGCATTAACGAATAGCATAAAATGATAGTCTACTGTGCTGCATACGTATTTAAATTAACGGAGCATTAAATAAGCATGGGTGTGCATCTTAGATGTATTAGAGGACCTTCACCACCACCACTATCACCACCACCACTATCACCACCACCACCATCACCACCACCACCACCACCACCACCACCACCACCACCACCACCACCACCACCACCACCACCATCACCACCACCACCACCACCACCACCACCACCACCACCACCACCACCATCATTACCACCATCACCATTACCATTACCACCATCACTACCACTATCACGCAGTTAGTGTTAATTATGAAATCACAGGGCGATAATGAGCAGGGAATGTCATGAGGGAGAGGATTAATCGCAAGCGATTATTAGCCTCTTCCACGTGGATCTTATGTCGGGATGTAAAAAGGATCACTTAATTATATGATGATGTAGAAGGGAAGAAACGGAGGAAGCTGAAATTTAGAAGATATGGAATTCGTAAATCTCTAAAATTGAACAATTTAATTTAGGAATAAAAAATTTGATAAACATAAATTTTTTAAGTATCTATGAAAATGTTCACATTTTTGTCCTTGAAAATCTGTTAGTTAAAAAATATACAATTTCAGAAATGTTTACATTCGAGAATTTAATAATTGAAGAATATGATTTTTTGAGAATCCTAAAAGTTCAAAATAAAATGACCTAAAAAATTTCTTTAAATTTTATGGTTACTTGGGAAAGATTTTCATAAGAAAATTATATGATTTTTTTATATATTTTATACATGTTTGTTGATAATTTTGATCTTTACTTCACAAGAATTTATCTTTTTGTAACACCAAGTATTTTGCGACGCGTAATGAATATTTTTTAGAATCACTATCTCAGATAATGACGTGTTTTAATTGTCCATGTTTTGAGATGATCAAGATGCTCTAATGTCAATAATTTTTTTCATGTTACTATTATTTGCAGCGACTTGTTGGAGCAGTTTTGCGGCTCTGATAATGGTAGTCTTTGCAAAACATTTAAAAGAGAGAGGAAATAAGCGAATCTCTCCCTCATTTCATCCCTTAGAAAAATTCGCTGGGGATAAAAATCGCCGCTTTCATTTAATTCACATGTGTTTCACACGCGATTCAATTGCGAGTGCGGTTCCCACCGACGGATTGTATGTATGTATAATTTTTAAGACAAACGTTGTGCAAAGAGAGCAGAATATTATCATTATTTCGTCGTTGTATTATGTATTGTTTATATCTCTCGAAAGAGTACCACGTATATACAATAATAATTATAATAAAGATCGACTAGTGTATTTCCGCGAATCCGACTGACAACAATTAAAAAATTAAATTGCGCATCTCTTCCGTGTGCACCTGTTTTTGTTCCCCGAATCTTCTTTTCCTATCACTTTATCACCGAGCGAAAAAAAGAGACACAAATGAATTTTATTTATAACATTTATGAAATTTTATTTTATCTGAGATTCTTCTGGTGTATTTTAATATTTTATTTCTTACAT